GCTTCTGCCTCTGACCCTCCCCCCTCTCATGTGCTCTCTCTCTCTCTCATTCTCTCTGTCTCAAATAAATAAATAAAATCTTTAAAAAAAAAATGTATATGACGTATAGGAAATGGAAATTATTCAAAATTAATCAATTACTAAATTCTACAAAACACCAGCCCTTCTCTGACTAGTAATTAAAACTCTTACCTGGAGTATTACACCTATTTGAATAAGGATAACTGATATATCTATGAGTTTTATATTCTACTTTGCTCTATCTTGGGAATTAAAATAATATTCCACCTTATAGTATTTCAAAAAAGACTGACTACACATTAAAATACCTTTGAACAAAAGTTTTAAGACAAACTACCTCTACATTAAAAAACACTGACTCAGTATATGTAACATATTTTAGATTAGTACCATTTCCAGAATTTTGATTCTTTAGCTCCAAAACAGAACACATTAAAATTAAGACTTGATATGGCCCTATATTCTGCATAGAGCCTCTATTTCTTTCTATCGTAATGCATAAAAGAATGGGCAAATATATTTATTTGTATCATTATGATTTGGTATTTTAAGCTGTTTGGTCTACAAAACACTAAGTGAGAACTGCACTGTAAGTATATCATGATTCATAGCCTATTCCATCCAGGATATTGGAGTCTGCTACAAAGACCGAATGCATCTCTCAAATCTAGCAGATGAAATCACCATATGCCCTACACTAAACAGTATCATTCAATTATTAAAAGAATGTAATTATTAAAGTAATAATTAGATTTTAAAATTTTTGACTAATTCCACAGTTTAGCTGCTTCTGGTTTTGCACATACTAACTATAAAACTTTCTAGTATAATTTAATTTTGCTAATGCACATAATCAAGTCTCAAAATGTTAAGGTCTCTTCTAAATGTCACTTTCAACATCTTAGTAAAAATTTGAGATTTAAAGGCAAAGATTCTTTTATTAGCTTCAGAGGTAGAATCTAGTGGCTCATCAGTTGTAACACCCAGTGCTCATTACATCAAGTGTTCTCCTTAATGCCCATCCCCCAATTATCCCTTCCCCCCACGCTCCTCCCTCCAGCAACCCTGAATTTGTTCCTAGAGTTCAGTGTCTCTTATGGTTTGCCTCCCTCTCAATTTTCATCTCATTTTTCCTTCCCTTCCTCAATGTTCATCTGTCTTGTTTTTTAAATTCCACATATGAAATCATATGGGGTATTTGTCTCTCTGAGGCAAAGATTCTTATCTACAAAATAACCAAATGGGAAAATGCCAACTTCATTAGTAAAAGAGAAATGACAGTTAAATAATAAAAACAACTTTTTCCTATTTAATTAGAAATAAAAAAAAAGATTTACTGCTGACCAGGGTCCAGTGAAATTACTATATTTTATAGGGCCCAAAAATGTTCCACTATTGTGCTACTTATATACCAATATTTTAAAAAATAATAAACTTTCACACATTCATTTATTTACTGAGTACGTTTGGTATGTCAGGCAATATTTTAGGTACTGTGAATACAACTGTTCATGAAACAAATCTAAGATTAAATGCTAACAATTGAGAAATGTTCACTTCATATGAATGGCACATTATGGTAAATTATTTAGTCACTGAAATAAATTTTAAGACTAACACTATGTAAAGAAAGGGATGAGCTTACTATACATTAAATGAAGCAAAAAAAATTTTAACAAAATTGATGTAGGGAAAAAGAACAGCAAGAAATAATACCAGAACACAACTGGTTTTTCTAGAATGGTGAAATTATTAGTACTCTGTATTTCCTATAACAAAATTAATACACCTGCAAATAAATTAAGTTATAGGACACTAAAGATGTGAATTCCATTATTTTGCAGACCAACAGACAGTATCAGAAGTAACCCACCACATTTTCACAGACCATTTGGTACTGAGAATTGCTCAATATCTTGTTGAAACTGGAAATAAGAAATACAGTAGTCCCCCCCCTTATGCACAGTTTCACTTTCTGTGATTTCAGTTACCCGTGGTCACCCACCGTCAGGAAGCAGATGATTTTTTTCTGACATATTATCAGAAGGTCAATAGTAGCCTAGCACCATGTCAAAATGCCTATATCATTTACCTCACCTCATCTCATTACACAGGCATTTGATCTTTACACATCATCACAAGGGTGAGTACAGTGAAATAAGATATTTTAAGAGAGAGACCACATTCACATACCTCTTATTACAGTATATTGTTATAACTGTTCTAATTTATTATTAATTATTGTGGCTAAACTCTTACTTGCCTAATTTACAAATTAAATTTTATCAGAAGTATGTATGTGTAGGAAAAAATGTAGTATATATAGCATTGGTACTATGCACAGTTTCAGGCATCCACTGAGGGTCTGGGGTCTTAAAATGTATCAGTCATGGATGGGGGGGCTACTGCAGTACTTTTTAATGGCTAAAAACAGTAAATGCACAAGCTGTAAGGAGCAACTGCATAAACAAAGGGGTTTGTATCTTAGAACCATCCACTGGGCAGGGAAACAGGGAATACACAGAATCTTTTAATAAACCCTATCAATTTCTTTTTTCAGCTTCTCTTTTAACTCCATGAAATACCACATTCCTTTAACTCTGCCACCAATTCCAAGGCACTACCTGTTTGTAGTAAACACATGAGGGCAAACGGATTTTCAGGGAAGAAAATCACTGAAGGGCCACCCCGACATACCTCTACTATTCAACTATGAACCTTTTAAATAACTGATTTACATAAACCCAAGAAAATAATTCAGTAACTTGCCTGCCTGTCTCACAGGTAAATCCAGTTGTTCCGACATAGTAATCTGAAGCAGTGTTGAAACAAAATTCAGAGACTTGTGTGCCTACAAACAAACAAAAAAAAGGTTTTAAATTTCTGCAAATATTCTCAGTACTCTAATCCAGTACTGGACTGGCACAAAAGGCTACCCACCCACAAGTTGGTCCCAGCCTTATTGCCCATCACTCACCAAAAATGAACTAAAAAATAAATATATATAATAACCTAACTCCTAAAATATCCTGGATGTTTGCATTTGCCTTCATACTGCTCCACTTCCCATTTATCCTAACTGGCTTTCTTAACCTACACCAACAGCTCAAAAACAATATCCTCTTTAATACCTATTTCCCCAATTCAGTAATAATTTCTCCATAGAGATGTTCTACTGAGTGACTAGACAAACTAAATCAGTAAAAATTAATAGCTTGGGAAGTGTTTTCCAAGGTGCTAATAAATGTTTTATTTCTGAATATGGCTATTTTACCAAAGTGTGTTCAGTTTGTGAAAATTAATCAACTGTACCCTTAAAATGACTATTCTGTATGCACATTACATTTAAATAGAAAATTAATAGCTTTGAACATACAATAAAAGTTGGATAAAAACCATATGATAATTTAATAAATATATTTATATGAAATTCCAAGGCAGCATATACAGAAAATAATGAAATATACCCAAAATGTTAATACAGTTATCTCTCAGGCGATGGCATATAAAGTAGCTATTCTTCACACATTTTCTTTTTTTCCAGTTTATACTACAAACCCTGGACACTTTCATTAACAGTATAAAAAAGTTAATGATTCCTTAATGATTCCTAATTTGTCATATTTGTTTCTGGTTTTAAAAAAAGAACTTAAACATTCAAGTTATATTCCTTCTTTAATGTTTTCACAGTTGCATTCCCTCTCCCCCAATGTAACTACCACCTATGTCATCTCTTCCTTTCAGCCCAAGTTTTAGTATTTTTTCTGCACATGTTCACATGAATAACAGTAATTTTTATTTTAGTTTCCTCTTCACTCCCCCCACCCCAAATATTCCATATATTCTTAGAAACTGAAAAATTTCCCTTTGGATATCAAAAATTGTTTCTACATTAGAACCTGGAATTCTGTCACTCCAAAAATTGTTTATTTAAATGTTCCTGGTACATGACACCATGCTAGGAGTTGAGAATACAAGGTTGAAACAAAACATTAAGGTTCCATGACCTCATGGAAACTTAAGAGTTTAATGTGAAGGATAGCGAAGATAATCAAACAAGTAATTACAATAAAGTACAGCAGAAAACGTAGAAACACTATGGGAGAATCAAAAGGAAAACCTTCTAACCTAGAAGTAACGCTTAAATTTAAGACCTGAATGGGAGGAGCGCCTGGGTGGCTCAGTCGTTAAGCGTCTGCCTTCGGCTCAGATCATGAAACCCAGGGTCCTGCTCTGCGGGAAGCCTGCTTCTCCCTCTCCCACTCCCCCTGCTTGTGTTCCTTCTCTCACTGTCTCTCTCTGTCAAATAAATAAGTAAAATCTTAAAAAAAAAAAAAAAAAAAAGACCTGAATGGGAGTAGTTAAGTGGATGAAAGACAGGTATTTCCCCTTTCTGGTACTCTAAACACCATTAACCACCATAACTTTCTTGAAACATCCTTCCAACTATGCAATTCACAGACCACTTTTCCTTCTGAGATTCCTTTGCTGGTTTCTTAAACTATTTAAACTATAACTGCTCAGTCATAGGTCATCTTTTACACTCCCCAGCTGATTTCATCCAACCATGGTCTTTAAATACTATTTGTCAAATACATTATTTCCAGAGACCTATTTTTAACATCCCTACCTTCACAGGCTTCTCAAATTTATCATGTTCAAAGCATCTTCTCCCCTAAAAGCTATGTTGCTACTTTCTTGTACCAATTCTCCCCACCTTTTTCATCACTATCCTCAGTTACTTATGTCTAATACCTGAATGACATCTTTAATACTTCCCTTTTTTATCCCACTTCATTGTGTCAGGACCTGTCAATTCTATATCCAAAATACTTATATAATTAATATACCCACTTTCTCCATTCCCACTAACATCAACCTAGTCCAAATGACTATCATCTTACTTAAGAAACCCCCCACCATTCTCCATTTAGCAGCCAAAGGTCTTTAAAATTGTAAACCGATCCCCTTTAAAAAAAAATTTTAACAGCTCTTTTTTTTAAGATTTTACTTGTCACAGAGAGAGAGAGAGAGCACAAAGCAGGGGGAGCAACAAAGGGGGGGGGCAACAGGCAGAGAGAGAAATAGGCTCCCCACTGAGCCCAGGACCCTGGCTGGAATCATGACCTGAGCTGAAGGCAGATGGGTAACTGACTAAGCCACCCAGGCGTCCCAATAGATTTCTACTCTACTTCCCAAAGGCTATATAAGGGCCTGTATTATCTTGCCTCTGCCATTTCGTCAGTCTCATTTTTTTTAAATTTTATTTTATTATGTTATGTTAATCATCATACATCATTAGTTTTTGATGTCGTGTTCCATGATTCATTGTTTGCGTATAACACCCAGTGCTCTATTCAATACATGCCCTCTTTAATACCCATCACCAGGCTAACCCATCCCCCC